ATTCTGCTAAAATTCAAATAATAATAATAAGATATCATGTTCAGTATTTTTTTCATATTTTAGTGTAAATGCAAGAGGGTCTATCATACTAGGAAACATTAGTACAGGCTCCCCTACGTCTGCCAAAAAATATATCTGTCCTTATTACTTACTATACCTGTATCAAACAACAATTTTAAACGTAAAACAGGTAACACTAACAACTGAAAACAATAAAAAAATCAATAACGGAGCTACTGCAGAGCTGTTGTGCCAGTCAATTTTGTGACTGTTATTAATGTATTCAAAATTTTACTTTTTAAACTGAAGTTAGTTTTTCTTCCCACTTACCGCCAGTGATCAAATCTGCGACTCTTTAATCGATAGTGTAAACAGAAACCGCTCTTTGCTTGCGGTTAAACACCGCAAGAGTAAACAAACATACCTGCCTACCTACTCCATAACCGGAAACAAGAAAAAATCGCGTAAGCTAATAATAAAACCGTTTATATTACCTACTAGCGGCCGCCCGCGACTTCGCCCTAGTTAACTTTTAGTTTTTTTTTTCTATAATAAAAGATTTTTTCTAAAATAAAAGTAGCTAAGCTACTCCTTATAACATCAGCTACCTGCCAATGAAGTCCCGTCAAAATCGGTCCAGCCATTTCAGAGATTAGCCGGAACAAACAGACAGACAAAAATTATAAAAAATGTTATTTTGGTGTGTGTATGTATGTACCGTATATATATCCATATGCAAAGCGGTTATTTCAATACTACAAACAGACACTCCAATTTTATTTATATGTATAGAATATAGAAGATACGTACGCCAAAAATACAAAAATATCGTTTATCCAAAACAACTTGTTTAGTTTCAATGTCCCGATTGTTTCATGCGAGCTTGCAACTTTTCATTGCTACAATAATGTTTATAATAACCAAAATAAACTCTATGGATTCCTTGTTTGACGACAACAAAGTTATATTGAACACGTTAACAACGACCGAAATTGTTTCCATAATAATAACATTTTTGTTTGTTTAAGAGGCGGAAAATAATCTTCTACGTATTATTGTAACATAGTAAGTATGATATGAAACACACAAGTTGCGATTGTTCGTGAGAAAACAGTTACATGGACTTTTACCATAACAAAATTAGAACGAGTTTTGAAACCGCTAATCTTTATCTATACATATAAATAAAATTGGAGTATCTGTTTGTAATATTTAAATATCCACTTTTTACTACATGCATATGAATATATATACTTACGGTACATACACCAAAATAGCATTTTTTACAATTTTTGTCTGTATGTTCCGGCTAATCTCTGAAATGGCTGGGCCGATTTTGAAGGGACTTTATTGGCAGGTAGCTGATGTATTAAGGAGTAACTTAGGCTACTTTTATTTTAGAGAAATTCTTTTTAAGAAACTTAAAGTTAACGCGGACAAAGTCGCAGGCGGCCGCTAGTACCTAATATGCCCTAAATTACCAGTAGCTCTGTTGATTTTTCTGCTTTGTAAATTGTAAGTATAATTTGTTATTCAAATGCGACACGAAAAGTAAACAATACAGTTACTAATTTTGTGTTAGTTTCATGTTACATCTGTCATTTTCATTAATTAGCTAGCTCCTATGTTTAAACACGACGCAACAACTAAGAGTTCGTTGTATCATCTACTTATAATTAAATTTTACTGTAGTTATAATACTAGAGAAAAGATTACCATTTTTTAAAGTTTGACACATTAATTGTGCATTTGACGTGACATTAACTATAGTCAAATTTAACTGTAGATTCCACAATGCGGCTTTAGTAGGTTAATTTATTATATTCATCATTTATTTTTATATCAATTTGAATATAAAATGTTAATAAGTGGCAACATATGAAGAAAATTTGTAAAATAACATTTGTACTTTAAAAAAGACTCATACCTATTTTATAATTTACCGCCATTTTTCCTGTTATTAACAATACCATAAAGAAGTACTCTATAAACAAACCTACAGTCAAAATCCAAAATTCGAACTTTAAATAAAGAACATCCGGCCATACAGCTGTATTCAGAGGAAGAACACATCATTAATTCCATGCCCGTCATTTATAGCGTGAAGTAATAAGACGCCAACAGTGATTCTTATATTTAAATGGCGGCTCGAAGGACCAAATTATTTAGAAATCTTCATAGTTAAGCTTAAAAACGACAATTAAAACTATGAAATATCTATTTGGATCACAAAAAATACTGCTGTAATTCAGTATGAAACAAAGCAACTTAATGTTTAATGTGGCAGTAAATAACTTGTTTCTAAATATTGAAAAAACGGCTTAGCCAGCAAGAACACAGACTAAGATTTGTAATCAGTAAGTAAACGACTTTTTCGGCTTTTAAACTTCAACCATTATTTGGGCGGTATGAACTTTATTTCATGCATCATCCCCCTTTCAGGGGATAATCGCTTCAGATGAAGCTTGTAAGGCCCTTCTGGCCATAAGCATGAACTACGGGTATTTTTTTAGTGAGTAAGAGTCTAACATAACCTTGCAGCCGGCTGTAGAGTATCCATGAAGATTTCTCACCCGCTCCCCCGCCTGGGAGGAAACAAAAAAAAAGGGGGGAAAGAACTGTGAATAGGCTGAAAATCGCGAGATAACAAAACTTTTAGAATTAAACAAATACTTAATATTTTTAGAAAGTTATTGTAATAAACAAATACATTTTACAAACACCACCAACTATTCTTGTAGGTAATGCTGTTACGTTTTTATTTTTGAATAATAACTGTTTTAAAGTAGAAACTGGTGAAATAGACATTTTATGCACCTACAATTGTCTTGACAAACGGATGGCCTCTATCATTATCTCTAGTCGACATTCTCAAGAGATAAAAACTACAAACACAATGACATAATTACAAGAAAAATCAAACGGAACATTTCCGCATGCATTATGTTTAGAGGGGCTTGATCGCGGAGTTGTAACACGATCTATACTGCACTTACTAATGCTAAACAGTACTATGTGAGATTTGTCCTAGATTTTTTATATATGCTGGATAACTGGTTCCTGTATTTTTCACATAAGATTTATAAAAAAAGATTTTGGATTCGATTTTAATACATCGTCAATCGGTAGCATCCACCAACTGCACAATCAAAGAAACTTTAGAAAAGTCGATACATATTTTGATTTTATATAATACTAGCTGTAGGCCGCGACTTCGTTCGCGTTAACTTTAGTTTTTTGATAATCCCAAAGGAACCTAATTTTTTTGCGGGATAGAAATTATCCTATATATCAATCCTGGTCTTTTACTAGTCCGTTTACTATGATTAATTGCTAATAAGTTAAAAAAATAATAGTGAAGGACATTCTTTTGGGCATGCTGGAGCCGATTTCGTCGATGTCTTTCAGTATATTCGCATTTTTAATCATCGTTCGACTAAGAAATTTAAGGACCATTTTATGAAAACAAAGGCTGATTACGGAAATTTTACCAGAATGCGTATTAGTATCGCCGCTATTAACGACAAAATAAAAATATTTAAATATTTACTTAATATAAACCAACAAGAAATATTAAAAAAGCAACTGCTGGTATGAGTCGTTATTTTTAGAAAAGTTTTAATACAAAATAAGCTTTTCTGTTAGTTAGCAATGATGTTAAAAAAACTTAAAATCCTTCTAAAACAATTCTTTAATTGCAACATTTACTTTGACAAGACGTAGAGAAATAATCAAAGTATTTTTGCGATGTATGTACTGAAGACAATCTATAATTTAAATGAATTTTATAGAAAACTTACAAAATTACAAGTCTTCCATTGAATTATAATAGAAAACATAATTAGAAATCTCAAAATAAACGAGTAATTTCTACCTTTTTTCACTGCCTACTTCTTTTGTTCTTTGAAAAAAAAACAGTTGTTTACTCTTTTGTCATAAAATATGTATGCTCTGTGCGCATCAGCTCCTACACCCACAATACAATATTCTACACCATTATAAGTTTTTTTTTCAATAATCAACTGTTCGTAATTCGCAATTAGTCATTAATATCGTTGGTTGAGTGACCTCTTTAAAGTACCATCACATCTAATGCGTATTTATTAGTGTAAATTAACAGGTATATGTAGGTAGAGCAGCATTGATTCAAGATTTTTCAATCTTTAGATTTGGTAGAGCCATTAAAGGTAGATAAAATTCTTAGGATGGTACCTAAGAAATTTATTGTATTAAATATTTCCTTCATTAGTTGTAATTTATTCCTCCATTTGTATTGTATAATACCTAAGTTAATGTAAGTATTGTTCGAAGAAGAAGTGGGTGGTGTACTTTTAAGATCATAATCGCTCACGCTTAATCTTGGTAGAACTCCATCTTATTGTGAAATTCGCAAAGTTGAATTACTATATTAAGGGCAGCAATATAACGTTTTTAATTTTTTTTTACCGATTTTTAAAAAGGAGAATGTGCTGAATTCAGCCGGTTTGCATTTTCCAATTGGGAAAGTCTTAGTTATTAGAATCTAACTTGATTAATCGATCTAGAGATCTATTGGTAAATGGTTAACATTGATAGCGCGGCAAACTTATTTTAAATACAGAGCAAGACGCAAACGTTAATTATAACGTTTTGGAATTCCTACCTTATCGTTGACTACAGTAATAGGTGCGTTAGTCACAAGTACAATATGATTGATCACGTATAATAATCGGGCGCCCGCTTGGTTGTTGCAAGAGGTGCAGTGAACGCAACTCAACGGCCTGCCATAAGGGGAAATGCTACGCAAACCTGTCCCTTCCCTCCTTCAACGCTTCGGGGCGAAAATTCACACGCAATCCAAGTTTTAAAAAAAGAAAGAGATTTAGAAAAAGTTTTTACTGGACCATTTCTTTTCAGAACACTAAGTAGAATTGGACAAGCCTGTTTAAAAAAAAAGAGCATTATTGATGGACGAAATTAAAAAAAATACATTTAAACAAATGAAGTCTGTGTTTACAAACCGAAAAAGTCCTCCCAAGTCATAGAATGATCCGAGTCAGCGTTCGCTCCGTCCATCGTCGAGTCCATGCCACACCGTTACAACTCCGTGAACAAGAACATAACAAAAGCAATAATAAAAAAAAGAACACCAAAACGTCTCCTCCAGCTTTATTGACATCACCGTTCACTTAAGAGCTTTTGCTGCGGTTAACATTATTTGTTGACAAACAAACTTTATGTACTCGCGACGTTTTACAATGCCGCACGGGACGGAGCGCGCGGCGTCGTCCCCTCTCGGCCGTTCACTCGTGAATGAAAAAGTTTCCGACCAACCTCTCCGTCGCCCTCACCTCACCTCGCACTCCGCGTTGCACTAACTTGCACTTCCAATAATCCCTATCTAGGAGCGCAATCCCCATAGCGAACGCACCATAGCGGTAGGCGGTAGGTAGAATTCGTGATAACCGCTACTAATAAGATTAATAACGGTTACTCCTCAGATAGATAACTAGTTCATCTCCTGTTAACGGTACCTGTTTGTAGATTTTATGATTTGTCTTATTTAGTTTAACTACTTAAACAATACAGTAAAAATTCACTTAGCACTTTTTAGCGTTTGTAAAATATGGATGGGTTATGTAGACTACAAAGCTCAATGCGGAGTATATCACTTTTGAATCTCTATGGTCTGTATTATTATTAAAGTATTCATCATAAAGCACATAATCTAAAATTATGTTAGTACCTAATTATACCAAGTTTAATTTTTAATCTACTACCTGAATAAACTACAACATGAATAAATATAAAGAAAATTTTACTAGAAAAAAATCCATACGGTCCAGGCAGTAGACTGGACTCAAACCCGGACCCTCCTCTATCTGGGCGAAAGTGGAGTGTGTGCATTTTCTTTAGATTTAATCATCAAGCAGTTAATTAAATCTAAAGTATATGAAATGATTAGATAATAAAAAATAAATAAAAGAATTGGTAAGCATCAGAGATAACGACTCTACAATAAGCATCAGCCTATAAATGTTTTGACAAAAACATATAGAGGTATCGATTGTAGGTCACACCCCAAGTATTCTTTTAAAAAAATATTCAATGTACAGTTTTGACTTTCCTACCATTTTATTATATGTATAGATTTATGATACTAGTGCAGTAATTTGGTTATTACAAACGAGTAGACGAATGCACGAGTTTATAAATACATCATACGACGATACGATACGATAAAATTTGTATACAAAATAAGGGCGCTTTCAATTTATGCGTTTCTTGACGGCCTGCTGCGGTGCGGCAACAGTGCGGCGCCGGTACCGCGAACGCTCGACAACAGGACTGTTGCCGCACCGCGCATTTTGTATGAAATAGTATATTTCATTACTAGTACGGAATGGTTGTCATTGCAAAGAGTTCCGACAAATGTCTACCCGAGCCGAAGGCGAGGGTTGACAGTCGGAACGAGTTGCAATGACGGTTCCGTACGTGTACTGAACGACTATTTTTAATACAGTTGCGAAAAAATGAAGCAATTTAATCAAATTATAAAAACACAATAAACTCAATTAACTAATCATTTATTTCTTATAAAAGTTATAATTTACATATACATTGAAATTGGTACAGTTTTTTATACTAACTGGGGAAGTTTTACGTTGCATATTTACTGTTTGAGACAAACTATTATTAATTTCGTATGATTGTTCATGTATATTTGTCATACAATGGCGTTTGCTAGTTGATGGAATTGGATCTGATGAATTATCATTATCAACGAAGGTACTCGTAGATGGACGAACGTTCTCTTCAACATGTGAAGGAGACGGACTGGACCTTAAATTAATGGATTGTGTGATCTTTTTCCCAGTTTCTAGTTTGTTGTTTAATGAATCACCAATATAGCTTTCTGCAACTTTGTCCGATTTCCAACCTGAATCTGCCAATAATGTAGCAGAGGTCCTTCTGAAGCTGTGCCCAGTATAACACTCAGCATCCGGCAGACCAAGAAACGTAGCTATTTCTTTTGGCATATTACCAAATTTGTTTATGCCGATTACACTTCCCTTTTTGGAAATTTTGAAAAAAACGGTCGGATTTTCCTTTTTGGGACCGCTGGTTCATATATTTTTTCACTATTGTGAGAAAATCTCCTTCAACAACAAAGCTTCGCGGTATCTTATTTTTTGTGTTTGGAATCTTGATAAGTAGCATTTCTCCGTGGGCTTCAATATCTTTTAAAGTAATATTGTCTAACTCCTCTCTGCGGCAAGCTCCAACAACGCCAAAAATCAGAGCAACCTAAAAAAAACGATTTGATTCATATAAATAATGTATTGACTGTATTTTGCGATTTTGTAAACTGAACACTAAAGAAAAATGTAGATATGTATACTTATTAATAAATTACCTTTGTGGCTAAATAACAATCATCGGGAGCTTCTTTCAAAAACCTTTCCACGTCATTCGATGTTAATATTTTCAACTTTTTACTGGTAAACCCGTCTGATTGTCGTTTTAAGAAAGAATTTAATTTTGGATATTGACTTATATCCACGTTTTTCCTTATTTTCAGCATACTTTTTATCATCGAAAACCTTGACCATAACGTAGAAGGTTTTAATTTTGCTGAGAGTTCGGAAAAGTATGCCAACATAACATTTTCTGAAAAACTATTTGCTTTTTTCTCTTCTTTCCACGCAATAAATTCATCGTATGTAGATATGTAGCGAATTTTTGACTTTTCCGGTAAAATGTTCTCCGAAGCATTTTGTGCAATTATACTGAGTTCCGGTGGAGTTAATTCAAAAAAATTTAGGTCGAAATTACTCATTGTGTGTAAAAAACAACTAAACTCGCAAAGAAAATTTCGGAAAATGGCGCCAACCGTAGAATGTAAGCAGTTTTTTTTCACCCATTCTGGTAGGCAAAGGGAACTGCCCATACAGCCAAGTCTTTAGTACTTAGTATTTTTTATTATAAGAAATGAAATTGAAATTTAATGATATGAAATGAACTGAAACCTCACCTAACTCATTCAATCAATTAATTAATTCTGATATTGGACAAATTAGTATAGGTAGCTTCTTTTTAAAAACAAATAAACCTATTTGCATGAATCGCAAAAACTTCTATGATTTTTTTTAGTTAAAACTTCATGGTTGTTTTTTTTAATAGAAATAATTTTGACAGTTGGGAAAGAAAACGCACGAGTTCGGGAAAGGCAAAAAAAAGCACGAGTGTGAAATAGCCCAGATCCCGAACGCTACACGTCCCTGCAATACGCCCCTTTTTGAGCAACTGTATTAAAAAAAAGGATCGTCCGTACGCTGTACGACAAACGCACCGCTTCGGCACCACAGCAGGCCGTCAAGAAACGCATAAATTGAAAGCGCCCTAATACAGCAATTTGGACCCATTGCAGAATGCTGAGCATTAAAGACTAACTATGTGCACATGACTTTATAGGACAGACAGATAAATCTTAATAATAAAACTACATCACCGTTATTTTATAACGATGTGACATTATAACTAATGAAACAGCTATTGGTCTTAGCTTTTACTATGAATAAATAAATATAAAGGGGAAGCCCAGGCAAGACGAATATGTTAAAGAAAAGGCTTAATAACACACAAATGTATAATCAACAACAGCCTTTTATTATTAATTTGTACTTAGGATAATCATCTTTGCACAATAATAGTAAAACTTAGTGTCGCCGCACACGGGCTACACGCCACAGCTTCAAACGCCGCCACGAGAAGCTAGAAGCGGCTACTAAAGTAGCTGAAGCGCGCGACAGCGGCCGACTAAGGTAAAGGAGAGAGGGGTGGGGAATCGCGCGACTGACGTTTGGCGGCGTTTTGTATCAGCATTCGGCGCATTAAGTGGCCGGTGCGGGCCACGAGAAGCGAGCAACGACGATTTGTAGCGTGTGGCGGCAACCGGCGTACCGTGTGTGGCGAGTCCATATAAAATGTATGAAAACTACTAGAATTTTATGAAATTCTCGAGCATTTCATGAAGTGATCAAATCTACGATATGGCCACGACATATATATATACATACAGATGGAGCTAAAGAAGTTTCACTTTAGTCGTGTCATAAGCACACTCGCTTTTTTTATTAAAGAAGTGGTTTCACTTAGGATACTTTTAATTGGTTAGTAAACACCCATGATGAAAAAGACAAATATTTAAGGTAAGTCACGATATCAGCTAGTTCGGTAACGCACATTTTTAATATTTTATCGTATAGTATCGTCGTATGATGATTTAGTATTATTTAGACTCATATTGGTGTCAATTCTGAAACGATTCTCTAAACCTAAATCTAAATTTGACAACAGTGTATCCTTGTCATTCTCTATACGGAATGAAAAGGAGAGATTGATGTTAAATTTAGTTTTAAGTTTAGAGAATCACGCCAGAATCGACGTTCTTTCCATAGTCTTAAGTTGTAAAAACATCGAATTAGCTTGTGTTGTCACTTTTGGGTTATGTGTTGTCGTGTTCTCTAGAGGGTACTTTACATTATTACCGTTTTACCCGGTAGGTCGGGCAAAATGTATAGTAGGCACTTTTTTGTTATCAAAAATTTATATAGAAGTTGTTTGTTTCTAAGTGTCGCCGCACGCGGGCCACCGACCACAACCACAAGACGCCGCCACTGGCATATTTCTAGTAGTTTTCATACATTTTATATGGCCGCCGCACGACCCGACCACAACCACATAACGCCGCCACGAGAAGCTAGAAGCGGCTACTAAAGTAGCTGAAGCGCGCGACAGCGGCCGACTAAGGTAAAGGAGAGAGGGGTGGGGAATCGCGCGACTGACGTTTGGCGGCGTTTTGTATCAGCATTCGGCGCATTAAGTGGCCGGTGCGGGCCACGAGAAGCGAGCAACGACGATTTGTAGCGTGTGGCGGCAACCGGCGTACCGTGTGTGGCGAGTCCATATAAAATGTATGAAAACTACTAGAAATATGCCAGTGGCGGCGTCTTGTGGTTGTGGTCGGTGGCCCGCGTGCGGCGACACTTAGAAACAAACAACTTCTATATAAATTTTTGATAACAAAAAAGTGCCTACTATACATTTTGCCCGACCTACCGGGTAAAACGGTAATAATGTAAAGTACCCTCTAGAGAACACGACAACACATAACCCAAAAGTGACAACACAAGCTAATTCGATGTTTTTACAACTTAAGACTATGGAAAGAACGTCGATTCTGGCGTGATTCTCTAAACTTAAAACTAAATTTAACATCAATCTCTCCTTTTCATTCCGTATAGAGAATGACAAGGATACA